ATATTAAAATACATTGAAATATAACATTTTCTATACAACAAAATACTTGCGCCCCAAGCAGTCTTGCTCCGCACGCCTTCTTCACTATATATTAGCTATCCATCAACAGCATCCTCATCAACACTCTCTCTCTCTCTCTCTCTCTCTCTCTCTCTCTCTCTCTCTCTGTGCCTCTAATTGTTTGGTTTATATATAAAACTTTGAGTTTAGTTTAGAATATTTAGTGAGTCGCAGTGAACGAAAGGTAAAGATAGAATTAACAATAAGGCGAGTTATATATACCTTGAGTTACCATAATATATTTTACATATGTTTTGAATTACCATAATTTATTTTACGTAAATTGTATTTTAATTATGTTATTTATTTTATGAACCTTATTTTATATACTAAGGAAAACCCATGGATATAATTGTTTATTAAAATTTGTTTTGAGTAATTATTTTATAAGTAACATTACGAAGGTCCGATGCCTTGGGGGACTTAAATAACCATTGGTCCTCTGATTAGTCACGCTATGACTCTCTGTCTATCATGGATCCACTAATTCTCTGATTTCTGGTATGGAGCAAAGCATTGTGCGGAGCTAAGTGCTACACTATTGTGGAAGCCATCTTTAGAGTTCATACGAGCCGCTTCTTGAGTCCACACATCTGTTTTGTTCTGCTTTGTACCGTGGTTAGGATTATTTAGGTTATATGATTTCTGATTATATACTCTACATTTTAATATCAAGTTTTGTTTAGCCAATAATTATTCATAGTGATTTTATGCCCTTATACTTTTAGTATAATATTTCTCACTCTGCCATGTGCTTATAGCTGTTTGCCAATTTTCATAAAACAATCCAATTCAGAAATAACTTTTGAAAAGTCTTAGATGCGGGGCTGCGGAATAGACACACATAGCACTTTTATAGTATTTATAATTTTATTATTCATATGTAAATATTGACCTTTTTGGTCAATAAATTTTGTTATAAAAATAAAAGTTCCGATGATTATTTTGGTACTCTTACTTAAATATTTTTTCGCTTGCATTTAGTAATTTGTTTAAAAATTGGTCGGAGGTAACTTTAGTTATTGGCCATTACGATACTTAACACTTGAGTACGGGGAGCGGTTCGTGATACACTTTATCCGTGAAATACTAGATAATTTTTTATTTTTTAAATACTAATTTGTTTGCATTTGCTCTTGATGAGGTGTGGATACTTATTTTATATATATATATATATATATATATTTTGGGTGTGAAATGGCACCGCAGAGCAAGTTTTCAAAATAATAATAATAATAAATAAATAAATAAAATTACAAATAATGAAAAATTTATCAATTTTAATAATTATTGAATTTGTAAATATTTTGTAGTAGTATCACAACAGATCAAATCATCAAACCTTAAATGAGGCAACCAGACTGATTTATTTTTATTAAAACATACATAAAATGGGGATGGGGTCCTAATTCATGTTCATCCAAACAAAAACACATTCATAGAAATCTAATCTCCCCAACATTGCAATAATATAACAGAATAACATGTATAACGGTAAGTCTCGTCATATTCGACGTAGACACAATACTGTTAGACAACTACTCTTAAATGGAATTATGTCCATTGAGCACATAAGGTCAAAAGATAATATCGTGGATCCGTTAACCAAAGGTTTGACCAGAGAGTAAGTGTTAAGATCATCGAGGGGAATGAGATTAAAGCCTACTAACTAAAGAGTCGTCTTAATGGCAACCCAACCTAGCTGACTGGAGATTCCAAGATTTAGATTCAAAGGGACAACCGAATTATGTGTGACTCATCAATATCACTAAGGGAAATTTTTTACCCTTTTCTATGATGACATAATGATGTCTGCAACGTTAATCAGGTTAAGCTTTGCTTTTAATGATTTTCATGTCTTGGAAATCCAAGTGGCGTATAGCAGAATACTCTTAATAAGAATCACCTATATGAGTGTGAACTGGGCCGGTTCTATGAGAATTGGAAAAAAAATGCTGAATTCTCTAGAGCGCTTAGGAAAACTAGAAATTGTCCAGGGCCAAAATGGGCACAACCGATAGAACTAGATTGTGTATGGAAATAAAACAGTGTGACAGACTGTTGTCTTGGTTTACACCAATGGCAGATAATTCAAGACCTCATGTTCACTAATCAGCCAGTAAACCCGTTCGTTTTTTACAAGGGAAGGTTCAAAACCAAAAGTAACCTATCCTTTGCAGGATATTTTCAATTTTGTACTCTTTGTGTCTATATGTTGTTGCATGTTCGCTTCCAATTTTATGCATGTGGGAGATTGTTAGAGAAAATGGTTTATCACCATTAATTTTTGGGAATTTTGAGCTATAATTTATGTAGGACCACACCTCGAGTTTGGTGGGTCCAAGTGGCAACGTGTTCCTTGCCGTGTGATAAATAAGAATATATACTCGGGTGGTCAAAACCATTTTCGAGTGAAGGAGAAATTGATACCGAAGTGAGCCTCATGAACATGAATATGTTTGGTGTGGTTCCCATGAGTTGGTATCTAAATCTTGTCCCACATAGGAAACTTGGAAGAGTTTCCATAAGTATATAAGCTCTAAGTTGGAGACCTCGGGTTGGGCCCCAATGGGTATCCAAGTTTTGCAGGATGAGGAGTTATAGACAAACCCAAAACCACCACACACGCGCGCCACCGTCGTCGCCCGGCCGGCCGGGTTGGGGCGGACGCAAGTGTGGGTGTGGGTCAAACCCGTCCTTATTTTTTGCTCCAAAATTATTTGAATATTTCCAATATTTTTTTGCGGGAAAAATTCAAATTCCAGAATTTTGAATTCAAAATTTTCGGTTGCAACTCTTCTTCATCTCCAACCAGTCGCGTTTCCTGTCCGATGATTGTTCATCACAACTCTCTTCCATTCCAAAAAAAGCACTTCACTGCCTATATATATAGCAACTCTCTATTCCAAAATAAATTAGTTTTTTCTTTCCTTCCATCTTCTTTCTTCACTGCTTCTTTCGTTCTTCATCTTGCATTCTTTGAGAGTTTGAAAACACAGCATGGTTCGCTGTACAAACAGTACGTTGTGCTGCATCTGTTTGGGTGATTGTTGAATCTTGGAGACAGAACGTCCATTATTCCTCTAGAACCTTAGGAGAGGACGAATTTCTGTCTTAAAAACACAGTGTTCAAACATTAGCTTCAATCACAAATTTGTTTTAAGTTTGATTCCACAAAGAAAACTTGTAAGTTAACTCAAGTTCAGTGTTTAATTATTTACTGTATTTAATTATTTTGTTAAATTAATATTATCGGAAAATATTTCCAACATTTAGTTGCTAAAAAGTTTTTTTAGAACAATTTTTGACTTTTTTATAATTTTTTGAGAGAAAAAAATAAATCAATTATGATTTAAATATGACATTTTATTTTATTAATTTATTTTAATAAGTTAAATTAATCCCAATTTACTTTCCAAACAGGCCTTCAGTTATACATTTTTAACTTATTATTTAAAATTAAATAAGTTTGAAGATTTATTAAATAAAATGAAATATTATTGATTAATCGGTGTCAAGTGTTGATGAGACACTTGTCAGTAACCCTTTGTTATTCTTGCAAGCACTTTTTCCAACTAATGATATTGGCCCCCAATTAGGGGTGGGCGTGGGGCAATTGCAGTCACAGAATCTCTAATTTGTCATTTGTTCGTTAAATTGATAGATTAGAAAAAATTAATTTATATCCGTCTATTAATTCGGCAAATGTTGATTGAACGGATTGGCAAATTGATAGAAGGATGCGAATCGATTTAGCGGTTTAAAATTTTATAAATTTTCAACATAATTCAAGTTGTGCATTTCTTCAAAAAAAAAAATTACAGTTAATGACTGAAAAAAATATTACAATCACTACATGCCTCATCCAAATAAAGAAAGTTTGAAACTTTATAATATTATCATCATTTATGTCTCATACGTGATTCTTAAAATATAAAAACAATTCAAATGACCAAAACCATGAACAGAGCAGTAGTAGAGATTGTTTGTCTTTGTATTGTTACATCTATATCTATTTTTGAAAACAAAAATTAATCAACATATATTATCTTTTTTATTTATTATGTTTAAAGTTAGATTTAAAAACAAAAAAATATAGATAAATAATAAATTTATTTTTTTCAATTCAAAAAATATATTCAAGTTGAAAATTCTTTTTCAACAGAATATTTAAACTTTTTCTAATCGAAAACACAAAAAGAGTATCTACACAAATTGAAAACAAAAAATCTTACAAATTTTACAAATTACTAGAAGTGCTCACGGTTTGGCGGTTCAGTTGCAGCGAAATGAATCTCGAATCCGCGATCCATCCAAAACTAGGCGAATTAAAAAAAAATATCAATTTGTAACCGTTCGCTCGTCATCACGCATCCGTTCAAAATGCGGGCGGATCAGTTGGATTCGATTGGTTTGCGCGGATCAATATATCTATTATTCACCCCTAACCCCAATATGTTTTTCGAGAGATTATTTAATATATTTTACACCATTCACCTCATTATATTTATCATGTGATCACTCAAAAATAAACATATATTTATTATTTTAATCAATAAAAATAAATTGGAACACTTTATCCGTGAAATACTAGATGTTTTTTTTATTTTTTAAATAGTAATTTATTTGCTCTTGATGAGGTGTGGGTAATTATTATTTATATATATATATATATATATTTTGGGTGTGAAATGGCACTGCAGAGCAATTTTTCAAAATAATAATAATAATAAAAAATAAAATTACAAATAATGAAAATTTTTATCAATTTTAATAATTATTGAATTTGTAAATATTTTGTAGTAGTATCACAACAGATCAAATCATCAAACCTTAAATCAGGCAACCAGACTGATTTATTTTATTAAAACAGACAACTTGAGTCCCAATTCGTGTTCATCCAAACAAAAACACATTCATAGAATAACCTTAAGGAAAATGCCTCCGACCCCCAGTGTTGGTACTAGGAGTCGCGTGTGATTGGTGGGGAAAAAAAAAAAACTGTTTTTTTTTTTTTTTGTTTTCGGCCAATGTGGAGGCGACACCTCACTGTGGTTGTCAGTGGGGGTCGCCCCACTGGGTGTAGGAATCACAGCCCTAACCTTAATTCCCAACCTCAACGGGCTGGAAACCTTTCTGGATGGACGAAATAACAGCATCCAGAACCAGCTGTGTCTTCCTACTAATTGCCGGCCACTTCTTCTCAGGTTTCGAATCATTTCTCTCAATGCTCGAAATCAACCCAGCAAACACACTCACCATCAGAGCTTCCTGAGGAAGATCAGTGGTGACAGCGTGCTCGCTCGGGATTGGTCCACACCCCAATGAAAGTTGTGCGAATGTGGACTTGGAAGCTGTATAAAATTGCCCAACATTCTCTTGAAATGGTATGACAAAGTCGTGAATGCGCAGATTTCCCTTTGTTCCACCACAAGTTATGTCCATGGTCATATTGGTGAGGAAAGAGCAGTAGAAAGTTGCTATTCTCCCATCACCCCAACTTAGGGAAGCACCACAGGTTATGAGGACCCCTACTTCGTTCAATTCAGGCTCGCGTAAAGCTGTCACGGTTTTAGGGAGCTCATAGTCGGCAGCCCAAAGGATTGCCCGGGTACAGTACCACCCGGCATCACCTAGACAGCCAAGACCATCAAGATCCGGTTTCACACGAATGTTGTTCTTGAAAAATTCCGGCCCAGCATCGTAGGAGAAGATGCTGTGAACCTGTGGGAATCATCACTAGTAGAATTAGATAAGAGTATTTGATTTTTTTTGGCACCAAAAAAAGCTCTAACAACAAAGCTGTGATTTCAATTTCAAGCTAAACATTGGGCACTACACAGCAGGACTTTTTAAAATGTTTGTTTTTACTGAATTTTTTTAATATTTTAAACAAATTTTTTTTAAAAAAACTTTTAAATATACCTAATACAAATAAACTTAAAAAATAAATATTTGTGAAATTTTTTTTTTAAATATTCAATAAATACCAAAAATATAAAAACGAAAATTCAGTACATTTTCGTATTATTATATATTTATTGATTTTTTAAAATATTTTTTACAAATATTTTATTTTTTAGATACATCTAAATACAATGCTAAAAAAAATGATTAAAATTTTAAAAATATTTACTAAAAATAAAAATACACAAAAAATAAAAAAAATTTAACTTTAAAAAAATTAAAACCAAACATAGTGAGAATCTGTCATATTTATAAAAAAATAAAATAAAATAAATAAGCAGCCCTATAGTGAATGATAAAATTAGCAATAAATCCTTCGTTACAAGTCCATACAAGTTCTTGTCCATTTAGAAATGTGCTTTGAAGATGTGATCATATTTCAGTGTGATCTTCATTTGTTTTTGACTGATTCATTTAATATTCTGGAGACCTAATTCTCATCAAAATATACCCTTCCCAGACAATAAAGATTACCCTCATAGTACTTCGGCAAGCATATATCTTGAATCATTTCAAAACTTAAAAAAATCAATATGAAGGTTTGATCTATACCTTTGATTTTTTTTTTTTTAAATTTGAATTTTTAATTTTTTTTTATCGAGATCCACCAAACAAAATTCATGACAAAATTTTGATAAAAAATGATAAAATTTTACTATGTTCACTCCCGCTTTGAAATTTCATTGATTCATTGACAATAAATTTATCTATTTAAGGCTAAAAAAATGAAAATTTGAGGGCCAATTGCACTAACTGAGGACATAGTGCCGTTTTGAGAATAAGCCAAAAACGTAAGCGTTTTGTTGATTTAAAGAAAAAGTTGGGCAGCCGAAAACACAATTTGTTGCATTTGGGATGTGACAAAAACGCTGCCTTGTGAAATTGCCTCAATACCCTCCATGTTAACAAATTACCTAAAATTCCAAAGTTTGACAAGGGTATTTTGGTCATTTTATTTTGATTTGATGCCATAAATAAATACTAACTCAAAAAGTCAAAAGTCAGTTTTTTACCAACTTCCTAAATCACTTTCTAAAAAAGTCAAAAAATTTGATAAAAAGTCAAAAACTAATTTTTTACCAAATTCTCAAAACACCCCATAATTTCATTGTTCCATTCCAGTGTTTAGTTGTATTTTTTTTTTTATTTAAAAGAAATTTTGACAAACATTCCATCTAACAAAAATTAGCGAATTTTTTAATCTTACAAATAATATTGCAAAGTAAACATGTAATTTAAATTATATATTTTCATATTCATTTCAAAACAAATATGGACAAGATGAGATAATTTATTCCATTAACCTACTTAGATAAACAATTCTATACTAATTCATATATTGCTAATTCTCTTACCATTAATCTTGCTAATCAAACATAACAGAGTGTGCGGGTAAGCAAGTGAAATTAAGAAAATACCGATTTGAGTTTGCCAAAACGCTCTGGATCGGAGAGGAACTCCTTCATCTTAGCAGTCCTCGGATGGTGCATCCACATAGTAGCGTCCATGTACTGCACCCCATTTGACTCGCACGCCTCCAGAATCTTATCCAGCTCCGACACATTGAGAGCCACCGGCTTCTCCAGTAGAAGGTGCTTCTTCTTCTCGGCGGCTAACACGGCCCACTTCAAGTGAAGGCTGGTGGGGAGAGGTAAGTAGACGGCGTCGACTTCAGGGTCGTCAAGCACGGCTTCGTACGAACCATAGACCTTAGCCGAGTCAGGGAAGCCATTCTCGGACGCGTATTTCTTGGCCTTGTCGATCGAACGGCTGCCGATGGCCTGGATGGTGGCGTTTGGTGCAAGCCTCATGGCCCTTGATACCTTGCGCGCTATTTCAGCGCAACCTAGTATTCCGAACCGCACTGGTTTGTTTTCCGACATCGTTTCAAACTAATTGCAGGGCAAGTCAACAAATGTCACAGTTCATATATATAGAGGAAAGCTAAAGTACACGTGGGGTCCACCTATTGTACTAAAAGGGCAACACACATTTACGGGCTTTTCTTTTGGGCAAGTCAGTCCCCGTTTGGAAAGCGGGTTGATTTTTTTTGATTATTTTAGTTTGGGTTAAAAAGTTTAGTTTGGAAATAATTTTTTGATTTTTTAAATTTTTTGAATTTTTTTTGTGAGAGAAGAGTATAATGATTATGAGTTGGATGTGATATTTTGTTTGTTGCGATTAAAATAACCTATTTTGTCTTTTATGACTATTTTAGCCACAAATCAACTTGCCAAACAACACCTAAAAGTCAGTTTTTTTTTAAGTTAATCAAAAAGCTAACAACCTATATCAAAAAGTTAAGATTTCATTTTCTCTCTATTTTTTGTACATTTTTTCATAAAAAAATCAAAAAGTCATCCCAAATATATTAACTTTTTTACATCATATTTTAACCCAAAAGTTAAAAAGTTACTAAAAAAGCATATTTCCAAACGAGACCTTACTACCCTTTGGCCCTTCCCACCGATGACCCCCTCTCATGCCCCATCTATTTTACTACAACCCTTTTCCAACCCCTTTTCCCAATAATGACCCCTTCCTCCCCAACAACCCCTTCGTACCACTGGTGCCACCTTTGACAGAACACCTTGCCTCCATAAACCATTATTGAGAGGGTAATTTATATGAAAATTGGGCCGAGCTGGGTAATGGGCCGTTATAGGCCACAGTGCGAAGGGCTGAGTAAAAAGGCCATGAAGTTACTCCGGCCCAATTTTATTTTAGCGTATAAAAATCTACCACGTGACATGAGGAGAAGGTTTGGAGTTTTGGACACCAAGCCCAGTGTTTTGAATTTAATTTTCTAAAAATTTAATTTTTTATTTTTTTAGATGCATCTTACTTAAATATATTTAAAAAGTAAAATATTTATAAAAAAATATTTTAAAAAATCAATAAATACATAAGAAAACAAAAAATATATTGAATTGTATTTTTTTTTTGTATTTTTGGTATTTAGTGAATTTTTTAAAGATTTTTTTTCACAAATATTATATTTTTTAAGTGTATTTATGTTAGGTGTATTTATAAATTTTAAAAAAATTTAGTGAAAACAAAAAATATGAAAAATAAAAAAAATTAATTTTTTGAAAAGTGAATTCAAAAAACTTAGACCAAACAAGCTGATGAAAGTGAATTCAAAAAATTTAAACCAATCAAGCTGATTATCACTCTATTTTGTTATATTTTCAAAATTATATGTAAACTAGTTCGGCAAAAATAAATAGAAAAAATATTAACTCAAATTATACAATTAAAAACAAAAATAAAAATATTTAAACATACAAATATTTAAAAAAATGTGTTTTTGTTCAAAAAAGGTTCATATGAAAATGAAAATAATTTTTTTACCAGTCTATTTTAATTTTTTTTGGAAAAATACAAATTAAAATTTTAAAAATTCTATTTACAAAAATTAGTTTAAAAAATTAATTGCACCATATATTTCAACTTTATAAATAATTATAAAAATAGAAAAAATTAATCACAAGAAAAGAAGATTTCTCATGATATAGAAAAGAAGAATTCTCATGATATGTTTCACCTTTAAAAATATTTGTACAGAGGGCAAGTTCAATCTGTACGGAATATAAGGATGCAAATTCAATTTGTGTGGGATGCAATTCTAATCTGTGTGGGGGTATAAGTCCAGTCTGTGTGGATGCAATTCAAATTTGTGTAAGGTGCAAGTTTAGTCTATGTGAGAGAATTTACATAATATCAACAAATTATATTTACACTCTACATTGATTCGACTTACACTCCATACAAAATAGACTTGCACCCTTACAATCCACACAGCGCACAAATATCTTGCTTCTTTTTTTTTTGTAACTATTTATAAAGTTTAAATATACTATGCAATCAATTTTTTTAATTAATTTTTGTAACTATTTTTAAAGTTGAGATATAAAATATTTGGTTGAATTTTAAAATTTTGTTTTCTTTTTTTAAAAAAAAATAAAAAAATTGTTTGGTAAAAAAAATTATTTTCATTTTCATAGGAATCTATCTTTTTTTTGAACAAAAACACATTTTATATTCAAGTAATTTAAAATAATTCGTATTCATTTTTTAAAATTTCGTACACTTTTTATTTACACATCTCATTTTTATTTTTAAATATTTCAAAACAATATAAAATTTTAATTATTTTAAAATTATTATTAAATATATTCAATATTAAAGACATTGTCCATAACTTTTTAATAGAATTAATTTTGTAAAATCTAATTTATATTTTAAAAGTTATATAAAATTTATCAAAATAAATAATAATGAAAAACAAAAAATAATAATGAAAAACAAAAACGGAGAGAGTTCAAAAAAATGCAAAACAAAAAACGGCGAGAGAGAGAAAGAGAGTTGAGAGGAGTGAGGATCCTCTCCTTGTAGCTTTTGTGTTTGCGCTTTGTAGGCTTTCGGGTCTACTTTTAGGCCCAATTTTGATAATCCGAACCGTTTATATTTTATGATTTATTCAGTATATCATACCTGTAAAAAATCAAGTTGATCGGATATCAGAAAGTATATGTTCGGAAAACTGTTTATTAAATTCTTTAAAAAATAGTGTTTAGTTCAATTTTTCAAACACATACTTTCTGATATCCGATCAACTTGATTTTTTACAGGTATGATATACTGAATAAATCATAAAATATAAACGGTTCGGATTATCAAAATTGGGCCTAAAAATAAACCCGAAGGCCTGCAAGGACGGACGCAAGCACAAGCTTGCAAGGAAAGGCTCTTGACTCAGTTGAGAGAGGCGGTGATTTGACAGGTGAGAGATGAGCAGAGTGTGAGGGAAAAAGACAAAAAAAGGATAATTTGGTCCATTGATAAAAAACAGTAGATGCTTTTTGTGATAATTTTGTTTATATCCAAACAATAATGATAGAGACTACTAATTTCGGAGTTCTAAAAAGACTACTAATGACATGACACTCAATAAAAAAAAAATACAACACTAAGGCCAAAACATCAAATCATTCATGGTGAAGCCCACTGCCACATCATTAGTGATAACACTAATTAGTGCTCTCACTCATTTTTCACATGGTGAAGCCCACTGCCACATCATTAGTGATAACACTAATTAGTGCTCTCACTCATTTTTCATCTCCAAAATCACCCCCACTGTTCTGTAGGAGAATCCCTAACATATTATTTTCTAAATTTTATTTTAAAATATTATTAAAAAATTTATTTCTTATGTTAAAAATTATTTTTTTTATCTATTTTTCTCAACAAATTTTCTATTTTTTTATTATATTAAAACAATCTTTTTAATTACTTTTAAATTTAAATTTTATTTTAATAATAAAATAATGAAAACAAAGGAAAAGCATCAGAGGAAAACAAATTACTCACAAGACAAAGAATGGTTGTCGATCGGTGAAAATGCAGCTTTTTGGCAACACAATCAAAATGCAGCTTTTTGTTGGCCAAGACCAAAACGCCAAACAGGGCCAAGGCGCTGAAATTCTCATTTGGGAAGACCAAAAACGCAACACTCAAATTTAATGAACTATCTTCTGAAAAATTTTAATTAATTAATTCAAAAATAAAAAGTAAAGATATTTTGGTCATTTTAGAATGATGTGACACTTTTAAAAAAATATTAAATCAAAAATAAAAAAGTCAGCTTTTTACCAACTTCTCAAATCACTTTCAAAAAAGTCAAAAAACTTGATAAAAAGTCAAAAGTCAACTTTTTACTAATTTTCCAAAACACCCCTAATTGTGGGTTTTTTCTTTCTTTAGCTATAGTGCACCCACAAGACATTCGGGAGATATTCGGGGGACATTTGAGAGGACAAGAGAGTTATAGTGATACTTTATAAATAAAAAGTCACTGTAACAATATTTATATTTGGAGGGTTGGATAAAGGATCTATTGAAAAAGAATTTTTAAAAAATTAATCCCTTATAATAACAAAAAATTATTATAAAGGAGCTCCTGCGGATGGGCTAATGTTTTTTTGCTGCCATCATTGGCAGGTGATTCCCCCTGTATTAATTGGTCTTGATTTCAATAATTTTTAATTTTTAATTTGTGTGTTTATTTATAATAATATTACATTCATATTTTTTTTTCCTCACAATCTCCTGAATGAATGTAAGGAGAATTTTGAGAAAATATTTAAGTGGGATGACTTTTCAAATTTTGTTTATGACACCATTAGGCGAGATATTGGAAAGAAAAATTGTATGAATGAATAATTTTTCATTTAATTATATGCATTTATTGTTTGACTATTTTAATAGTTTTTGAATTTATATATCATATTATATAATTAATTCTTTATGTTTTGTATGCATAAAACTAATTATTCATTAAGATTTAACAAATTTTAAAATGTATTTAATGAAAAAAATTCTCATTAATTACTCCTTATCAAGTGTTTCGGGGCACTAGTTAGCATGATCATGGCTAATGTTAAGGCACTATGGTGTATTTATAATTGTATTAATTGATATTTATGTCAATAAATTCCTATTTTTAACTTGTGCATTTAATTAAATACATTTATTGATTGACTATTTAAGCCTCCGTTTGGGAAGTGGGTTGGCTTTTTAGCTTTTTGATTTTTTTGCCTATTTTAGCCTAGGCTAAAAAGCTTAGTTTGGGAAGGGCTTTTTGATTTTTTGACTTTTTTTGTGAGAGAAGAGTGTAATGATTATGAGTTGGATGTGATATTTTATTTTTGTGACTAAAATAGCTTATTTTGTCTTTTGTGACTAAAATAGCTGCTTTAGCCCTTCCCAAACAATGCAGTAACTTCTGATTTTATATACCATATTTTATAATTAATTATTTATATTTTCTATGCATATTATTATTATTCATTAAGATTTAATAAATTTTACAATGAATTTAATGAA